AAGCTCAGGGGTTCTGGTCTCCCGATAGCTCTAATTAGATGGATAGAAGCTTTCCTCACAAACCGGACCTATAGTGTTCGCGTGGGAGAAGCTCTGTCAAACGTTGACAACGTATCCAGCGGAGTGCCTCAGGGCCCAGTGCTAGGCCCGATGCTCTTCCTGCTGTTTATAAATAACTTGGTCCAGGAACTAGCGGTTCCTGCCTTCATTTTTGCCGACGACGTCAAGCTACTGAACTCAGGGCCGGTAGATCAACTGGAAGCTGATCTGACCAAGGTTGTCCGGTGGGTAATGAAGTGGGACTTGGAGCTAAACGATACCAAGTGTCATGTTCTAAATACCGTCGGGCTTCCGGTTCGAGTGGCTACGACCACGGAACCGACGGTCTTCGCTAGAGTAAACCGAATGCTGGATCTAGGAATTTTGGTCCGCGAGGACTTTAAGCCTAGTGATCAATGCCTGGCGGCCGCACAAAATGCGAGGGGGCAATTGTTCCAGCCCAAGGCGGCCCTTTCGTCAACGAAGGCTGAGGTTTTCTTCCTCTATATAAGGCCATAGTTAGGCCGCAGTTGGAATACTGCGTGCAGGCTTGGTCTCTACTTGAAGAAGGATATAAATTGCCTCGAGAGGGTGCACCGGTTAGCTACTAGAATGGTTGCGGGAATGAGGGGTAAGTCATATAAGGAGAGCTTAGAATCCTTAGGGCTTTTCCCCACTGAGAGGAGACACCTGAGAGGCGACATGATTGAAACCTTCAAAATGATGAAGGGACTGACTGGGCTAGAAGCCGAAAGCCTGTTTACCCGAGCACCGCTCGAGTCAACCAGGAGGCATTATTTTAAGTTAATGAAGTCCAGGAGCCGACTTAACCTTAGGTATAACTTCTTTACGAGTAGAGTGATAGATGAGTGGAATCAGTTACCATCTTTACTAATAGACTGTAGGACAGTCGATGAGTTCAAAAGGCAGCTAGATGGGGNGTACTTGCTATGGACAGTAGGTGTCTATGCTGCCCTTTTTCAAATAACCTCCCTTTGCAGGTACGGAAGCTCCAAGGGAGACAGTTCAAAACGAAGAAATCGGCTATGGTCAAATGGTCGACAAAAGTCGAAGCTCCGGAAGACGTGTTTCCGACTGGAGCAAGAATCTGGACGCTCGATAGGCGAAAGCCTTTACCGTCTTGTGCAACCTGACCTGGCCTGACCTAACCGTTGCACACCCATTGTAGTCCAGTAGGTTTACAGTACAAAGCGTAGATCTCCGAAGAGACACCTGTGCACTTTTGGTGAGCCCATTTTTCACATATGTAGTATATTAAACCCCTTACAACCATTTTACCGCACGCTTCGTTCAGATACGGAAAGTTCGCAAGTGGCATATTTTGAAAAAGATGTGCAATGTAAGTAAACTGATTAATATAAGACACCAAATTTACTGTAGGACGCAAAACGTAAACGAGCGTCAATACTTACTGAAAAATGGCTTTCTAGAAATCTATTTTCAAAAGCCTTTCAAAAGGTGTACTTGAAGCAAGATATTTTACTATCAAGCTTTTTAAGTAATGAAACGGACTGGATAGTTTGTTTTACCTTGCTTTTTAACGCAATTTAATGGAAATTTACAGGGAGCGAATAGCACATAACAGAATTTGAACGTACCGAAAAGTGAAGCCTAACGATTAACTTTCAACACTCAACTTCGGGAAATACCATTGCCCAGCATTTATCTAACCTTCTCTTGAAAGTCTCGAAATTAATACCGTTAACCATTGCCTCAGGTAATTTATTCCACAGTGGTATAACTCTGCTTGTGAAGAACCTAGCTCGTAGATTAAGTCTACAATGACCTCTAATTGTATGCCACCTCGTGCTCCCGACAGGAACAAACGAGAAAGGGTTTTCGAACTTTAGACCCGGAAGCCCTTTGATAATCCTAAATGTCTCTATAAGGTCGCTCCACATGCATCTGCGGGCCTGGGAAGACAGATCTTGGTCCCGCAGTCGTTGGAAATATCCCTTATCTTTCTGGCCTGCTACCATTCTAGTTGCTAAGCACTGTAATTTTTCAAGACATCGTTCTCCCTGTTTAAGACAAAGTGCCCATGCTTGTACGCAATATTCTAAATGAAGACACACCATAGATTTGTACAACGGTACAAAACCCTCGGGTCTCTTGCAACTTACAACAGCGCACAACCTGAAAAGTTCGTATCGAGCTTTATAAGCTACACGTGTGACGGTTTCCGGAAGCTTTCGTACAAGATACTTTTTTAATTCCATTATCTTCCTTTTCTTATCTCTTATTCTTTTATTAACTCAAAGTTTAACAGTTGTTTTAACCGGCCTCCTAATAACCCGCTCGGTATCTTTGCGGTTTCACTCCTTGGTATTCTCAATTGTTTGTCGTTCTGTAACAAGAACCTACGACGGTTCCGTAAGTGGCGAATATGTCTAGATGTATGCCTATAATAGAAACGAAATTTCAGCTGTCGTTTAAATGTTTTCCCACTTGCTGGAAATTCGGTCAGTCGAAGTCGAGATATCTCGATTCGTATTGAACGTTTTTCGGATTGCCGTTACAGTTTGAAACCTTGGTCAAATTACGTTCGGTGAGCTCTTCTACATTCTTCTTCTTCGTCTTCAATATTTTGTTCCTAAATTCAATTTAATGTCATGTCAACCTGGTCAATAAATCTCAGTCAGACTATCCTCCTCAGGAGAGAAAGAAGATGAAGAAACCACCATCGTTTAGGGTTCGAGTGCTGCGCCATTCTTGGTGGGATCACACCGCAGCGCCAGGTCTGCAATGTGGCTGCACCCAAAGTGGCTGTGACCCAGTACAGAGTTATCATCGCTTGTGGGATCTGCATAACTGTAACTCATTCATATCACCGCCTTTCTCATTCACTTAATCATAAATGATCGCACAGATGTGATCAGTATGTGCAAAGATGCGACGGGTTGAGCAATGATACAATAAAGATAAGAACCTGTGTGATGAAGCTAAGTAGCGAAGGGAGAAGCCGCAGGTAACAGAATATTGCCATTTGCATTGTGGATTGGATGTATTATTCAGCCAGGGAATGACAGAGAAAACTATGAGTTATGTTAGCTAGTTAATAAGTTCGAATTGATTCTTGCTATCCAGGTAAAATACGGTTACTTCTTTCATTATTACCATTGTTAAGTATCTTGTCAGGCGTACATTTCACTGTCAGCAATCGCATTTGATTCGAAGGAATCGGTTTCATTCGAGAGAACCTCGGTCTCAATATAATTTACCCATTGGGTTATTGAGGGCTTAGTCTGACTCCATTCATGCAATGAATCATGCTCACATTCACGTCTGGGCATGGTGACCGACTTATCAATCCATCTTGGCGTAATTCGCTTCCTTACCCGACCGATAGAGGTCAATTAACCCCGGGTTCATTCATTCGTACCTATGACACACAATCGATCAAAGATCACGAACATGACGTTCCCCAGTGGAACGTGTGTGGGGGGGAGGTCTGGAGAGAACGGCGCACCTTACACCAACGGAACATTCATTCTCGCTTGGTAACTCACTCGAAAAGAACTTTTGTTTGTTTACCGAGAAGTTTGCTCATTCGGACGGAACGGGTTTAGATAGACCTCGTCCAATCGGTGACATTTGACGGTCAAAACACCAATTATCTTGTCGGGATTTCCAATGGAGTGCAATTGGTTGGATTTACTTGAAGTTACAACGGATTCACTTGAAGTGGAAAAGGCATAGAAATGCCAGCAGGTTGGTCAGACACGATCTTTACAAAACGAATCCTTGCTGGGCTTGAATCAGAAGCTTATGCGCCATCAGATAAGGACATATCCTTTTCCTGACTATCCGCTGGAGACACTTGCGGAAGACCGAGGTCAAACTTAGCGGCCTATAGTTGCAAACGTGTGTCCAGGGCCTGACTTGTGAATGGTCACTACGGTTGCAGTTTCCCAGTCCTCTGGGAGTCTGCAAGCACCGATAGACTCCTTAAATAGCTTAGTCATCGGTCCCTCTAATGCATTTCCCAGAGGCTGAATCACGGCGGGATGCAATCCATCCGGTCCTGCTGCTTTATGCCTATTTAAGGTATTGAGCTCTCGAAACACGTCGTTTTCACTGACGGTAAACTCTGTGAATCGCTCCCTCGTTCTAGCCAGGTTGCAGTCCACAGTCTGTTCTGCCGTTGGTGGCCGATAATTTTCTTTGAAAAACGTAAGGAATGCATTTGCCTTTTTGTGGTCGGTGGTGGCCATTAAGCCTTCCGTTATCTCCAGTGTACCTACTCCCTCCTTAGTGTTCTTGTTCGCCTGCACGTATGCATAAAACCTTTTTGGATTATGCCTTATGTTTTGCGCTAACTTTTTCTGGTGTTCATACTTTGCCTCACTTTGAAGAGATTGTGCTCTGTTGCGTGCCCTCTTGTAGATTGACCACGCATCGGCAGTCCGGTACGCCCTGAAGCGGGCCCAGCATCTTCTCCAGATTACTAGTGCCGATCTAGCTGTGGCTTCCACCAGGTTGATCGTNNNNTATCGGTCAGTCTAAGCAGCCCTACCTTAATGACAAACCATCGCTCTTCCAACGTTGGCTCGGGAGATAGTGGTACCCAATCCACGTACTCCGCGGCCTCTTGTAGGGCAGCAGCATTTATATGGCTATAGCACCGTTTAAGTGGGGCAACCGGTTTGCTGTTTCATGGGTAGTGCTAACCTAGGTACCCTATAATCACTCTTTCCCTGTGAAGTCTCCACTGCTACCTCACTCGTGTCCGATGAATACCGCGTTATAACNCCTTTTGGCCAGTATGATATGCTGAATGAGCGCATGCTCATCAAACCGCGTTAAAAAGCTTTCTCCCTTTGTCCCAACGGGAGCCTCTCCCTCTACCCAGCAGATCTCCGGAAGATTGAAATCACCCAGAATAAGGATACTTTGGGTCCTCGATAGGAATTCTTGTGTTGTAGCAAGTAGTTCCATGTCTTCTTTGGGTTCCATCTGGGGGGCACAATAGACTAGTAGCAGTCCTAACGGTAGTCTTCCCAGAATGATGCTACAGGCTCCGTGAACGACCAGGCTATACCCCTCCAGACATCGTTATGTCTTTGAGGGTTAACCCAAATTCCTCCCCAAGTCTTTTCGAGGGCGCTCGTTGCCTTCTAAACAGGGAAAATGTTCTACTCAGAGGAGGAATGTCCTGGATATTTCTTGACACCACTGTAACCCAACTAACGGAAGATGATTTTGCCTTGCTATCAGCGACCGTAGACTCATCTATCTATTTTACACCGTCAGCTTTGGATGGCTCCGACAGAATGGTCTTTATTGGGCTGTCGTCTCTTCTGTTATCTGCCTTCTTCCTCGGGCCTCTAGCTCGGGACTGCCTTGGCTTTGTATCCCTTCTGTTATCGCATTTGGTCCCCTCTGGTTTGGGTTTTATCCTTGTGGACTTGCTCAACGGTGAACCAGCTGGCAGACTTTGTTGGATCACCATGCGTTGGCACGCCCCAAACATTCCTACTCCGTGCACCGTATGAGCGTTCAGTTTACTCAGAATAACTCTCGGCTTCTTTTGCTGCATTTTTCCTGTTGCAGAAACCATGAGGATGACGCTCCGCTGGGCGTGATGAACTGTATCAGGGGTAACTTTGATGTTCATCTCCACTGCAGCAGCCCTAGAGAGCAGAAGGTCCCGGCCGTATGTACTGTGAAATAATACTAGTATAGGTCTAGGTTTGGCTGTGTGGTTTGGACTCCACAATTTAACCCTGCGGCAATTATTATAGGGTCTATTGATCATTCTGTGAAAATTTTTCCTGTAAAGCCCAGCCATTCCACCTTGAATTCACAGTTCGTAAATCTCACGGTCCATGCCACTAATACCACCCGACTCATACTTTCATAGACATTTGACGTTCCACCCCCCACCCCCCGCTTGTATTCACACATCGATCCAACTATCTGACTTTGTTTGTTTTGCTGCTTCTTTTGTAACTTATTTGTTTTAAGCGCAACCTGACCGCTCACATTTGACTCGTTCGAGTGCAGCGCGGCGGTGCGTGTGCTGTTCTTATCCAGACTCGTTTTCTTTCGTTCAGATTTATTGAATTACGCTCACAGTAATACTCGGCTCTTGTTTCTAAGTTCTTCCGAGATCACTTAGAGATTTTCACATATTTCATTTGCCTATTTGCTCGTTTATTATTGCAGTACCATAGAAACTTGATGCATTGTTCGTTTTATTGACGTTTTGGGATACGATTTCAGCTATGCATTGCTCGTTGGTCTATTTGAAGTCACAAATTGAGCCTCGTTACCGTCTGTACCTATAGCAATGCGCGCAGGTATCTGCAGATTGCCACCATCTCACCAATTGCTCGTCGGGACGTCGTCTGAATCGCACCTCGTTCTGCTCTTCCATTAGTTTCATCGGAAGTGAATTCCAGAGAGTAGTCGCTCTCCGGGAGAGGCGATAAACCAAAGGAAGCTTTACTGACTCCAGGTTCCGGAGAGTAAGCCTGTGGCTGCGCGTCCGGTTGCTCTCTGGTTATGGGAACACAGCACATAGTTCCGGTCTCAGATCGCCACAGATAGATCAAATCCCCTTAGAGTTTCTGGTAGCTAACCGGGTAGAGTTCAGATGCTTGGAGCCGACCTTTATAGCTGATCCCGCGAAGTCCCGCGACCAGACGAGTGACGTAGCGCTGTGTCCATTCCAAATTGGCCATTTCGGGAAGCATGCAGGGGTACACAGCGGGTTCATCATATTCAAACCGGGGGCAAATATGAGCGGCGAACAGCTTCTTGAAGGCCGTGATCGACAGACCGGTAAACGACCGACGGATTGCACCTAGCATGCTCTTTGCCGCAGAACACGCTCACACGGTGTTTATCAGGGTCTTGATAGATAAGGAGACGATGACTCCCAAATCCCGCTCAGTTGCCGTCGAACGCGGCGGGACGTTGCCCATCTGGTAAGAAATGTCCTGTGTCTCCCGACCCAGGTGCATATGTGCGCATTTAGATGAATTTACTGGAAGTTCCCAGATATCTGCCCAGTGGAGGAACTCATACAAATCCTCTTGGTGGGCATGGTAATCCTCCTTTGTTCTCACAGTTTTACATCATCCGCGTAGAGCAGGCAAGGCGGGTTTAACCGGGAGGGCAGGTCATTCACGAAGAGGAGGGGCAGTACCGGTCTTACGACCGAACCCCGAGGAACTCCATTGGTGACTGGATGACGACTCGATTTAATCTGGGTAACTCATGGTAAACGTCGCCGGACGAGGAAATCTTTGATGCAGGGTAGTAGTGGGTTTCAGACACCGTGAGCCTTCAGCTTCTCTAACAACCGTCCTTGTGACACCTTGTCGAAAGTCTTGCTGAAGTCAATAAAGATGACGTCCATTTTGTGGCCATCGTCCTTGGCAGACGCTCACTGTTTCGGAGCAAGTAGCAGATTTGGGACGTATGAACGCTGCGGACGAAACCCATGCTGCTCCGGGCACAGAAGATTGTTCTCGGAGTCGCTTGGCGAGTACACGTTCCATTACCTCAGCAGTCCAACAGGTGAGACTGACTGGGTGGTAGTTGGCAGGGTCCCCTCGGGCTCCTCCCTTGCACAGATAGGGTAAGATTGCGGACGTCCACTCGGCCAGAGGCCTCCCCTCGGTTAATAATTGATCAAACAAAACTGCCAAAATAGGCGCAATGACCGGCGCCCGCTCATTCAGATCTATGGGTTGCAGTCCATCGGGACCCGGTGACTGGCAAAGTCTCAGAGCTGCTATTGCTTTGCATACCTCGTCTGCCGAGATGGCTTGCCAAGACAGCAGAGGCTCAGAGCACGACAGTTTGGGCTTGGTGGTGTATCAGTGGCATAGACGGACGCATTGTGCTGCGCAAATGCTTCTGACTTGTCACCGTCCGTTTTTGTCAGGGCATCGTTCAACTCCAAGGATGGTATGTCAACCGTTGAATGCATGCGGTGACAGAGGTATGTGAAAAAAAACGCTTCAACATAGTGGCTGCTTCAGATGCCAGGAAATCCTCATACACCCACCGNTTCATCATAGAGCAGGTATTACGCAGCGCCTTGTATCGGTCATAAATCCAATCAAATGCGCGGAACGCTTTCCACGCCCTGTTTCAACTCTTAAGCATCTAACGGAGCTCGTGGGCAAACCAGGGGGATTGCGGTCGCCCGTTTAGGCAGAGAAAAGACTGGAACTAATTGGAGAATGTGTCTTGAAAAGTAGTCCAAACGAGATGGACTTCCTGAGGGTAAATTGCTATCCAGGAGAGAGACTGTGCTGCAATCCTCATCCTATCATAGTCCGCTTTCCAAATATTGAGTCCGGAATTTGGTCGAGAACGGTACGGAGCTCCATGGCGCCGATGCAACAAGAGGGTCGAATGCTCGCTTGAACCGAGTGATGGGAGTTGGCCGATGGCATCAACGTCCGACGTTCGAGGAGATAACACCAAATCAGGGACCAAATGGGCAGAATCGTTAATCCTGGTTAGCTCGCAGGAGTGTTGATGTAGGGCCAGTTGGTTCACAGCTACAAGGAGAATCGGTCTGCTCCCGGCAGGTAGTGAATTTTGTCCAAGTCGATTAGAGATACGTTGAAATCGCCCAAAATCAGACAATGACCTTCACTAGCCCACCGACGTATATCATCCAGGATAGCCCCTGGGGCTGTCGCTGGTGGTCTTTAGCAGACTCCAATCGTCGTATAGTCGTTGCAGCCCAGTTTGGTTTTGCACAATAATGCTTCTTCCTGACCGCCAGGATCTGCGTAACTGTGGAGGTGGGTAGCCTGCACGCTCACAGCAGGACGCCTCCACCCACCCTTGGTTTTACTCGACCCGAACAGAATGAGGCATACCCCAATAGAGAGATTTTACAGTCGATGACGTCTGGAGTAAGCAGGGCTTTTGTGAGGGCGATTGCCACCAGATATTGCTCCATGACAAACGCCTCAAATTCGTCTCGTTTATTTAGGACACTGCATACAGTGTAGAACGCAATGTAAGCACAGCTGCACTTCTCGGTGGCAGACGTTGGTGAGTCCCTTCGGTTTATACCTGGAGAGATTCTCTACCAGTTATTGCTGGAGGACTCCATCGAAAATGTGGGCGCCTCATCTGGACCCAAAAAGCCCTGCTGAAAAGATCCTCTTCATCATTGGCTCGGCGCCCGTGGAGCTCGGCTAAAGCTTACTTCAGCTTATGTCACTCGTCCTCATCAAAGTCGTGTAATATCCTGATGGGTTCTCCTTTCAGGCAAAAGGTGCTTTAAAACGCTGTTCTGATTTCTTCCAGTGAACGGATGATGACCTTCAGGGGACGGGGTCGCTGCCTATAGGTTTGGCTTCCAGTTTGAACGCGGTTTCCACCCTTACCGCTTGGGTTTGAGTTTCCTCGTCTGGAAAGAAGAGCCTGGCCAGGACTCCTCCAAGCAAGGATATGTCTGCGCTGATCCTGGTTTGCGCCGTAGGTTCTGCGGACTCAGGCATATTGACAGCTAAGAAGCATTGCTATTTTGAGGGGCGTTCTCGTCGTTGATCTCCAAGGACGGTCGGTCGGGCTAATAGCCAGGGGTCAGAAGTCATTTCGGATGCAAGCTGAGTCACGAGACGTTTGGTACCACCATTTACAGAACTGCTGAGGACGTGCTTTGCAGCAGCGGCTTGATGAAATCATCTGGTGTTTGACGACGAATCTAGAGGAGCTGTCGGTGGAGGAATCAGTGAAGGGGCCGTAGACACTGAAGATCCAGGGTCCATCCCTGTCGCCACGTGGTTCTCACCAGAGGTTGGTTACTCTTTAGCGGTTTTATGCCCGCGTCTTCTTTGTCCACCGGCGGTGGCAGTTGGCGGCGCCTCGGCTGGGGGGTACTGCGCCGTGCAATCCGCTTGAGTTCGGCGGGAGCAACACTTCTTCGCCGACGATCGGTATGTGGAATTCAGGAAGATAATTGTCACAGACGTACTCCAGACTGGGGAAATCTTACGACTGGAGCGCTCTATACATATCTAGCTGGATGCTGGTACATGAAATATGATACCAACAATGACAAAAATTAAATAACAGAGCCTTCGCGCATGGGCCAACGATCTTCCTTCACTTTTGGCGCGGGAAATTCTTCCTAATGTCTTTGCTGATATTTCTCGGTAAGTCCACAGGAGCAAGTACACACATTTACGAGGATTGAAGGGCTTGGAAACCAAAGTTTTTGAGAGTGCTTCATGAATTAAATCATAATCGTGCCACAGGAAGTCGAGGAAACTACTAAGGCGTATGACAGGAACAAATCTGCAGGTCCATAAACCCGCTGATCCCAAAACCATTGAAGGGTATCTTAACACGTCCATTAGCCGGCCTATTTACCAAGTTACTCGAGACAGCCACCCTCTCAAGTGACTGGAAAGCAACCATAGTCACCCATGTCCATAAGAGGGATGACAAAGATGCCGCCTCCAACTAAAGGCCAGTGAGCTTGCTGTCATTAGTACTAAAGATTTTGGAGAGTGATTTGTGACAAAATGACTAGTCATTTTATAGCGAACAATACACTCAAGGAATCTCAGTATGGATTCATACGGGGTAGGTCCTAACTAACAAATCTATTTGTCTACCTGGATGAAGTGACGGGCAGCCTTGACAGAAGTGAACGTATTGAGGTGTGCTACCTAGATTTTAGGAAGACCCCAGTGAGCCATAGGCCACTCTTGATGAAATTGTCACAGTTAGAAGNACTCCAAAACTGGCTTTGGAGTTATTTGGTGGGCCAAACCTTCCAAATCAGGGTAGGCGGCAACCTTTCTGAGAGTGGCCAAGTACACAGTGGAGGGCCTCAAGGCTCCGTTCCTGGACCGTTGCTGTTCTTGGTCTTTATCGATGACTTGGCTTAGTGTGTAACATACCCAATATTCTTGTTTGCCGATGATGCAAAAATATTAGTCTCCCCTGATGGTGATGCAAAGTGACCTCAGAAGGTTACACGCATCCTGATATAAAAAAAGACATTCTTAGTTCTA